AAATTCAAGGCTTATAATAAGAAAGCTTTTTTTAAAATGCGTTCAAAATATGCTTTTTCTGGAAGATCAACAGTAATTAACTCAAGCGTATTTAAGACATGGCAATCAGTTTTGAAGAAACAAGTTTGTAATCAAATAAAATGAATGTTGAACTTAATTTTTCACTGTTCACAGTTTAAAAAACGTACTTAATTTGAGTAAGTCCAAAATCTAAAAACATTCAATGTCTTGTAGTTTCGTATTCCATGTACAAGTTCATGATATTGAAAATTTTCAAAGTACCTGAATTAAGGAAAACATTAAATGATTTATTTCAAGTTCGTAATTAACTTTATGAAATATTAGAAATCTTCATTGCAGTCCCATTAACTTCACAACAATTGTAGGAACTTTGAAGAAGTTTTGAGGAATGAAAAGAAATTCTGAGAATTTCAGTAAAGCTCCATAAACAAACTGCGGGAACATAAGGGAAGTTAACACACTGAAATTATGGAGAACTTACTGGAATTTTCAGAAACTTTTATGAAGTTCCTAGAATTTCAGAGCACATCACAGGTGTTAAGCAAACTTGAGAAATACAGACACCTTAAGATGTTCCGAGAATTTTAGGGAAGTTTCGAGAACATCAAGAGAGATTAGAGAATCAAGGGCAGTTCAAATAAGTTAAAGAAAATTGTATAAACCTTAAAGAAGTTCCAGAAACTTCAACAAAGCTCCGATAGAACTTCTGGTAAGTGATAAAAATTATATGAACATCCGGAAAACGTTAGAGTATTTTAAGGGTGTTATATCATGGAAATATCAAGAACTACGAAAGTTTAGCTAAGTTGATTAGAGAATATCAACGAAGTTCCATTCATTTAAAAAAATGCGAGAACTTTTAGCAAGCAGCGATAAATATCTCCAAGAAATTCCAGGGAACTTAGAATTTAGATAGTTTCATGATATTCAGCGAAGTTCCGAGTACTTCGAGGACGATCAAATAGCTTCAGAATAATCCCATTAACTTAAGCAAATTTGCAGCGACTTACAAGAAATTCCGTGGAATTATGGGGTATTCCAAGAATGCTATGATTGATCAGGGTCAGGGAATTTTAAATATGTAATATATATCAGAAAATTTGCCGGACAAACAAATTTAGAGAATTAGCATAGTTCAGGGAAAATAAGTGAGCGTTTTTAATCGTTAGAATACTTAAGGAAAATTGTCCAAACTTCAAGGCAAATCAATTAATTTCAGTAAAGTTGCGGGTTGTTAAAAAATACTGATAAATTCAGGGCAACCTAGAGAACTTTAAAGAAATTCGTTTAGCCAGTTTTATTAACACCCGGAAAGTCTAGACTATTGAAGAATTCCATGAAAATTGCGGGAGCACAAAAGTTCCAGAAATTTAGAAAAACTTCGAAAACTTCACAGAAGGACAGTGGTATTCAGAAACATTTCAAGAACTTCATAGGAAAAATTTGGGAAGTTCTCATTTCATATTCAACGGAAATTTCGATGAAGCTATCCTCCGAATTCAATTTTCTTTTAGTTTTTATCGGAATTACCTTGAAATTCTCCACAATAAGACACCCTTTGGAAAGATTATTAGAATATTTATTGAATTCATTTCAGATTTCCTGTTGAATCTCACTCCTTCCCTTGGAATTCTACTCACATTGAAAGTCTCATAAGAATTCATTGGCATTTCTACTCACAATTTCCTTAGATTTCTTCTCATAATTTGTTTGGAAAACTCTCCTGAATTTGTTTTCCAAATGCCTTCGAAGATGTCCTAGAGTTATTCTCAGATTTAATTGTAATCCTTCTTTTAGTATTTTCAAAAAAATTCTAAGGACTTATGCTCCGAATTTATTTTCTCCCACACACTTTATGAAATTATTCTCAGAATGCCATTGAAAATTTCCTTTGAAGTTCACAGAAGTAGTGCTCCTCAGAAATTCCTAAGAGTTTTCAATAAAATTTATTTTTAATTCAATTCAGGGTCACCTTTTAGTCACTATTTTTCCAACTATCAGTCACTATTTAGTCACTTATTTCTTCAACATGGTCACTAAAATCACTATTATTTTCAGCAGTGATGGCTACCAGCCCTGCATTTGAATAGTGGCACGAAGCTACATCTGGCCAGAAGATCGTAGGGCCCTCGTGTTGCTTCAACAGAGAAAGCAGACGTTTCTGTAGACACTACTTGAGGTAGATCTTCCCGTTTACAGTCCCGGTAGTCACGAACGGCGCACTCCGTTTGCCACATGAGCAGACCGCTTGCCAAATCATGTATTTCTTGGCAAACTTTGAAAATTCCTACTTCCTTACTTCCTCCGAAACATCAAACTTGTGCTGAGCGGTGAAGAACAGTAGCCTCGGAAGCTGCCGTTCATCAGCATCTGGGTGTATAGTTTCCGGGCCAATCGCCTTCTGCACGTTGTACGTATGCAGTCCTTCCCGGTCATTGGCTCTCTGAACGAAATACTTGAACAGATTCAACTTTTTGGCCACATCCCTAACCGAAGCATTGGGATTCCGCTTGAATGCTTTCACGACACGCTTGTGATCCTGATCATTAATAGAACATCCATTCTGACCACATTTCTACTTCCGTTCGATGCTCAGAGTTTCGTAGTAATGTTTAATCATACGACTCACCGTTGACTGCACGATTCCGAGTTGAAAGTGAAGAGGATTGCAGTTTCATTTCTAATGAATATTCTAAATAAGTTCAAATAAGAATGTTTAGAGAGTTGTGTTGAGTTTTTCATGGCAATTTGGAGGTTATTGAATTCTGAGTAGTGTTTCCATTTCCCGATCAGTTCGATTACCTTGGAATCGGGAAACAGCAGATGGCATTTCGTGGAAATTCTTGGGAAACGAGAAATAATTATATCCATGTTTTAATTTATGTTGAACGATACTTGAAGGGTTCTGACTTTTGCGGAAATCATCATCCATCTTCCCATGAGGTTCTTCTTAGAAAGAAAGGGAAAAAAATTTTCTAAAAAGATTCATGTGGCATTTCCCGGAAGTTTCTCCTTTTTTCCCGAAACATTCTTGCAACTTCTTCCAGATGGATTTTTACTTCTTTTCCCTCACTAATTGCTTGGGATGTTCTTCTGGTTTCTCCTGGAAAGTATTTCCGTGCTCATTCCAAAACATTTCTCGCTAGTTCCTTTGAACTTCCTCCGAAATTTTCAACCGATTTCCCTTGGGAGATACTCCCGGTTTTTTTCCAAAAGTTTCTCCCGAAATCTCCCAGAATTATTTATTGTTTTGCATTGCGCGGGAGTATATGTCTTCTGGATTTCTTTCGGAAGTTTCTTCTGGCTTCTCCAAGAAGTCTTTTTTAAACTGGCACTTAAAACTCTTCTGCCTTACATTGAAAGTTTTTCTGACACTTTCCAGAAGTTTTCTCTGATCTATTATAGGATAATGTTTTTCCAGCGTCCTTCTTATAAGCTACTACTACTAAGTTTTTCACATAGAAATTTGTTCCGACATCTTTCGAAAATTTCCTTCAATTCCATGGAAGGTGCTCCCAACATCCTCAAAATGAATTTTTGCCTTCTGTTGACATTATTTTCTTATTTCCTACGGAAGTTTTTACGATTTCTTAGGATGAATTCCATGATTTTTTGGAGTGTTTTGCAGAGAAGTTTGGATTGTTATAAACATATTTTCAAGTGACTTCCAGTGATAACGTTAAATTTATTTTAGAGGCATTCTGAAGCGAATCGAAGGGAAATGATTCTACAGGAAATTCTTGAGAACATTCCAAAGAAATCCTGCGAAAAGAAAACAAACGATTACGTTTTGGTTTAACTCATTATTTAAAGTTTTTTTTTTTCTTATATTCTTTAATGTCTTTTGACAAAAGTAAAATTATTCACTTGTTCCGGGGTTCAAAACTTACTTTGCTTCAAACCATGCCTTGGCAGTCACCCACGTTATGATGATCCTAATTTACAAACGCAAAAAATGCATTCAAAAGAATCTTTCGATTCCAAATCGACGAAAGACCGACGTTCCACCCATTTGACATGGAAATGCGCTTAACGAGCCAAATTTTCCGATCCATTATCCTAAATTGCCATTTTCCGTGTTTTTTTCTTTTTCTTTTTAACGCCCTTGTGCTTTCGACCGCGTGCAATAATCACGCCTTGCCTCTGTGTGTAAACACCGACCGATCGACCACCCACCCATTTGGCTTTAATAATTCTCGATGCGATCACCCGGGGGGAGGGACCAAACAACATCTGTTCGCTGGCACAACAACACAATCATTCCTCAAAAAAAAAAAAAAAAAAAACAGATAAACAACAGCTCCCGATCGCAATTTGCCACCAGCACCAGCAATATCCCTGGAAACAAAAAGTACAAATTGGCAAAGGCAAAATCTCGGAAAAACCTCCATCAGCAACCGCAGCAGAAACGTTCCTCGATTTCATCCCAGGCGTCGCCAGCGTCGTCCGAATGTTGCAAAACAGTGCCCCTGACGGACAAGGAACGCAACAACGGCGGCGGCAGTAGCAGTGAGGATAGCACGACCCCGTGTAGCAATGGTAACGTATTAGTAGGTGCTATTAATCACTCACTGCGGGTTTGCGTTTTCAAAACAGATTTTTTTTTTGGCTGAATGTATGTATAATGCGAACTTCCCGCCGGTTTTTTTTTTTTTTTTTAATAACCTCAAAGCGAGTAGTGCTATTTTTACATGATAATTTTCAACCGCGGTTGGAGGCTCGGATTACATTATTGACAACCGCGTTACGAGTGAGTAATACTGTAGCAATTTACTCGGCCGATTTCAGAGAAACATTGTAGGAGTACATGCTGTCAGTGGGAAATGTTTCCCCAAAGTGTACGTCTATGTTTACCAACAGAAGGTGTTGGAACAAGCTGACGCACAGTTTGAATGTACAGCGAGACAAAATGCATACCAATTAAGACCGTTAAATCAGTCACATTCTAACGTTTTCCTTTTGCTATTTCCTCAATAAAGATCGTCCCACCAGTATATCGCTGGCCCGGCAACCGTCCGACCGAAGGCAAGACTTCAACAATAGTTATCTGGGTAATGTTAGTTCCTACACCGACTACCTGAGCAATTCCACCGGCGACCCGGACACATTCGCGCCCGGCGTCGACAATGATCAATTTAGAGAAAGGTACGTAGTAAACCCCACATTGGGACATTTTCCCGATCACACCTAACGGATTTACTGTCTTCATTCTCTTTTTAGTGTTAAATCGAAATCGGCACCGGTATCGGTCAATCGATCCGAATCGTACAAGGAACGATCGCAGAAGAAGACCCGAAATACCCGCCGGAAAACGTCCGACCCCAGTCTGACGAAAACGACGTGAGTACAATTTTTTTCCTTTACCATTCTTGGGGGGATATATGTATTTAATATCACATTTTCACAACTCATTGGACCAGGCAAATGCCTCTTTAAAGTTTGAATAGTCCTGTAAATCTCACAAACGGATCCGAAAATTGGAAACTACAATTTATATGTTATCGATAGAAATCATGTACATCAAAAGATCAACCTCTTTAAATTTAAGTGAACTGTACAGTATATTTCAAGTACAGGAATGAACCATTTAGTCTGGGCTATTTTTCACACAGATAGCGCTGTTCCATTGGTAGGTTAGCGACAACCTAATGGAATCGCATAATTAAATAAAAAAAAATCTCCCATACATTTTTACCAGCTTTCCTTCCAGTCCCCAGAGAGCCAAGAAATCAAATTTGAGAGAGAAAATTTTCTCTAACGAGCTCAGTCTTTCAACATGCCTTTTTTAGCATACTCGGCACAAAAAATCCTTTCTAAGCCCCACCCCATTCACAAAAACTCATTCAATTCTTTACTCAATTTACAAATAATTTGTCTTTGTATTTTCACCTCCCTAAGACGATATTATATATTTGCAGGGCTGGTAGCAAGTCACTAAAAAAAAATCTTTTTTTAAGGCCAAGTCACTAAAGCCACTTTTTCTTGTAATCAGTCACTATTCTAACTTTTTTTTAACGATAATTTACTTCAAGATTGATCATTCTTCTAGCAGTGTGTAGGAAAGGCTTACATTTTGTTCTAATTTTTGAACAATTCGAAGTTGACAACCTTGTATAGAGTTTTTTTTTACGTTTAATCGTCTTCTCTATCTACAGGGTGTACTCATTTGGCTAAATATAGTTCTCTGAGTTTTCCAGGTTTTTCCATAACTTTGGCGGATAATTTCCAGATTTCTAATAAGAAAGCTATTCATGATATGCGTTAAAAATATGATTTTTTTTATTGTAAAACAATAACAACTATTGCGTAAACGTTTTTAAGACAATCAGTTTTAAAGAAACTGCTTTACTTCATTTTAGTAAGTCTAAGATCACAACATTTTTAATGACTTGAAGTTTCGTACTAGCAAAATTGTGGAAACTTTTAAGAAGTTCTATTTATCTCAGAAAAACTAGAGATCATGGGGAATTCCAAAGATCTTAAGCGGAAGTCCTCGAAATTTTAGCCCAGATTATTGGATTGGCTAAAAAATCTATAAGCGTAAGCTAAGAAAAATTCAGGATAATTCCATGATGTGCTGAAATAAAATTGAGAACCCTTAAGATGTACAGATTCAGAAAATTTATGAAAACTTCATAAATATTTCAGAAACTTCACAGAAATCCAGAGAATTCCAGGGTAATTTAAAGGTGTTCACGAGAATTCCATTTATTTTAAAGCAGAACCGAGATCTTAATAAGAATTGAGAGCTTTAGGGAAGCTCCGAGAACATCAAGACAGATTATAGAATGAAATGGCAGCTAAAAAAAAAATCAAAGAAATTGCAGAAACCTTAGGGAAGTTTCAAGAAAATTTCCGGGAATATCCGAAAACTTCGGTTTGCGCGGAGAAAATGTCTGGAAAATATAATAAAAATTATATGAACATCCGGAAAAGGTGAGAGTATTTCAAGGATGTTATATCATGGAAATTTAAAGATCTAAAAAATTTCAAAAATTTAGCCAAGTTGATTAGAGAACATCAACGAAGTTACATTAATTAAAAAAATGCGAGGACTTCGAGCAAGCACCGATATTTTCAAGAAATTCCAGAGAACTTCTAAGAAATTTAAATATTTTTAGATTGTTTCGTTATATTCAGTGCAGTTCCGAGTACTTCGAGGACGATCAGATAACATCACAAAAATCCCATTAACTTAATGAAATTTGCAGCGACTAACAAGCAGTTCCTTGGAAGTATGGGATATTCCGCGAATTCTATGATTGATCTGAAAAGTTGAGAAGATTCAGGGAATTATAAATATATATCAGAAAACTTACCGGAACATTTGATAAATTTAGAGAAATTAAGGTAAGCATAGAAAACTTCAGGGCTGGACTTTCCAGGGAAAATTAGTGATTTAAGGCAAAGTTCCGTGAGCGTTTATAAACTTTATAAAACTTAAGGAAAATTGTAGAACTCAAAGGCAATTCAATCAATTCCAGTAAAATTGTGGGTTCTTTAAAAAAAATACTAAGATATTCAGGGCAGTCTAGAGGATTTTAAGGAAATTGAGAAAAATTTTGACAGTTTTTAAAGCATCAGGAAACTATAGACTATTGAAGAAGCTATGAATTAGTTTTGAAAATTGACAAATCTTGAGAACTACAGTGAAAATTATAGAACTATACACTGCGGTTGCTTTTTACGCGGTTTATCGTTATACACTGCAGTCGCTTTTTACGCGGTTTTTTTTACGTAGATTTCAGAATTTACGCGTTTTTTTTTTTACGTGGCACGTATTTCCCGCGTAAAAAGCGACTACAGTGTATTAATTATTTCGTTGCGGGAGCTTAAAGAAGTTCCTGAAATTTCAGGTTCGAAAACTTCAAAGAAGTACAGATATCTTAAGAAACATATCGAAAACTTCAAAAAAGTCTATGGAACTTAAGGGAAGATCCGAGAACTTCAGGAACTTATATGGACATTTCGGGAGCAATTCAAATAAGTTTAGTAAACCTCCAAAACAAGGAGAATTTCAGGGGAGTTCAGTTCCATTAGTTTCACTAAATTAGCGGAAAATTTCAAGAATTTAATTAGTTTCAGGGAACTTGAGAGATGTTAAGAAAATTATTGCGGTTTTCACATATATCCAGAAGTTCACGGAAGTTTAAACATTTTTAGAATTAAGTTCAATTAAATTCAGGGTAGTACAACAAGCTTCATGAGAACTGCAAACACTTTCGAGAAGTTTCGACAACTTCAAGAAAGAATCTCCTCAGAGCAGAGATATTCCAGAGCAGCGAAATTACATAAATTTTAAAGAAGTTTAGAGAAATTCAGTAAATTTTTAAAACTTTAGAAAAGTTTCATACTCGTTAGGAAAATTGTGGAAACTTTAGGAAGTCCGAAAAAGTTTAGAGAAGTTAAAAACAATGATGAGAAGTATTGTGAGCATCAGGCTAGTTTCTCAAACTACGAAAAAAAACTTCAAGGCAGTTTCATTAACTTCAGGAATATTTTGGGAACTTTCAAGTTGTTCTGAAGACTTCAGAATAGTGCATTACATATTCAACGTCGATTTCGCATGAAAATTCACTTGGAGTTCTCCTCATCATTTGCTCGTATTCTCCCGAAACTCCCATGGAATTATTTCAGAAATTCACTTGGAACGTTTGTCTGAATTCTCTAAGAAAATATCATAAAAATATAGTAAGAATACTTCTCGCAACTATCCAACGAATCAAATTTCCTTTTAATTTTTCTAGGAATTGCCTTGAAATTATCCTCAGTCAGTAATAAATCCTATGGAAAGATTATCAGAATTTTTATTGAATTCTTTTCAGATTTCTTTTTTAATCTCACTCCTTCCATTGGAATTCTACTCACAGCCTCCTAAGAATTCATTTTCATTTCTCCTCACAAATTCCTTAGATATCTCCCCTTAATTTGTTTGGCAATCTCTCCTGGAATTATTTCTCGAATTTCTTTGAAGATCTCCTGGAGTAATTTTCAAATTTAATTGTAACCCTTCTTTTAGCATCCCCTTCACCCCCTAAGTATTCACCGACAAATTACGAGTGCTTATGCTCCGATTTCAAATGTGTGAATGAAAATAACTAGGAAGATTGAATGTTTTTATTTTAAAATGCATTCTTTTTTTTTAATATCCTTAGTAAAAATATAATAAATTTCCTGAGTAATGATAAGATTCCCTGAGACTTCCAGGTATTTTCAGGAGAAATAGAATTCCCTGAGAATTCCCGGTTTTTCAGGATTATTCCAGACAGTAGACACTTGGACGTTTAGTCATAAACTTTCTATTGATTCTTTCGTTTTGAAGGTTCCTATCGTACATATTTAAGTGTTTATGAGATTCTAAATGAATAAGTCTAAAACATCAAACATTTATTTAGTATGCCATCAGAACGACTAATTCTCTTCCCATAGGTCACTTTTTAGTCACTTTTTTACAACTATAAGTCACTATTTGGTCACTTATGTCTTAAACATGGTCGCTAAAATCACTACTTTTGACAGCATTGATCGCTACCAGCCCTGTATTTGTTATAATAGTTTTAGATTAAACCATTGCAGTGAAATCATTTAGATTCAAAACAGAGTTTAATTGTGATCGAGACGAAAGATTATAGGATACAATAGTAAATAATGGGACCTCCCTTAGCTCAGTCGGTAAAGGCACAGCTACAAAGCAAGATCATGCTGGAGGTGGCTGGGTTAGATTCCCGGTCCGGTCTAGGAATTCCCTGGGCATAGAGTATGATTGTACTTGCCACACAATTATACTAATGCAAAAATGGTACAGGCATCGAAAGCTCTCAATTAATAACTGTGGAAGTGCATCTAGAACACTAAGTTGAGAGCACGCAATAAGCTAATATGCCATACGCAATAAGCTTGAAATGCGAGGAAAAAGAAAAATAGTAAGTAATTTGTTTAGTAAAAAAAAATCTGAAATAATATTTCACTTGACTTGACGGACAACAGTTTTAATATAATTTACAATTTCATATCAAAATCATAGCTAAATAGACTGTTTTTTTATGATGTTCTGTAACTCGATACCTCCCTAATTTGATGGTACTTTGGATATCTAGTAAGGGAGAGTCGACTGTTAAGGATCACTTTCAGTTGACTAACATACTGAACCGACTGATTCATAATTATTATTAACTAACCCATAATTGAGGAATGACTGTACACCGTTTTTAATTAATCAAAACATTATCGTAAAGATTTATGGATTGGTTTTGAATAAATCAAGCGACTCATTTAGTTGAATGAAACTTTCTACTTTAACAAATGCATTCTATAGTTTTGCTATTAAAGATAATTTTCCC